TTTTCCCTTAGAATCGGGCAGCTAACAGATGTATCCCTTCGCCGTTCTTGAAGGAACCACAATCAAAGAGCTTCATCTACTATCTCGAATTTTGTTTTTTTTTAGTGAATCTAGTTTAGATTTTTATCTGATTCCGTTTGGACGCAGAAATCCTCGATTGAACGCCGATCACTTCGCCAGTCATTCACTGTACTTTTCCCCACATTCAATTCACATCCAGGATAAACAAATTAAATAACTTATAAACTATTTGGTTGATCTGGCTGTAATCTAGCACACTTCAATATCTCATTAATTGCCAGATTATACATGTCATTATGCAAAAAACAGTGTTATTAACATTTTTTGCAAGTATCTTGGTCAATTGTTCATCTATTTTAATTTAGAAACTTGCTAATTAAAGAAACTTGTAAATTAAGATCTACAAAATTTTATTTTTCTCTAAAAGTTATGACGTTTTATAAGCAAAAAACATTTTTTTTACTTTTTATGATTGTAAAAAAAAACAAAGCAAAATCAGCTTTACTTCTTTACGAATTTGTCATATGCTACCCCTCATATTATACCTTTTAGAACTTTCAAAAACCTGTATGAGTTTAAGGTGAAATTGTTGATTTTTTCACAGATAGACTGAATTATCTGGCATTGAATACTAATATGGGTCCTGACCCTGACACAATTCCTGCCGTCCTGCTTAAAAATTACAGCTTTATTCTGGCACACCCACTCTATTTCATTTTCAGCATATCACTTGAAACTGACTGGTCAGACTGTTGCAACTTAAGTTTTATTACCTTTTTTTAACATTTTTTTATTACCCTTGTTGCTGTTTGAGACCCATTCTTAAACTGTTTGATCATTTTCGTGGTCTTCCTACTTATCATCTTCTTATTGGGGGACCGTCTCTTGCCCTCTCTACTACTCTATTTGTTGTCATTCGGCTTATATGATCGTTTTATTGTACTCTTCTATTTCTTAACCAGTTCTTGAAGTTCTCTACCTTGCATCTACGTCATATATCTGTACTATTAGCTCTGTCCCATAATATCTCACCATCTAATCAATTTTTCTAAGTGTTTTTATCTCTGCTGTTTCTAACATCCTTTTTGTCCTCTCTGTGTCAGGTCTTGTTTCTACCGCGTATGTCATTATTGGTCTGATGACTGTTTTAAAAATTCTGCCTTTCATTTCTTTCCCGATATTTTTATTTCTTCATATTGTTTGATTCAGGGAAACTGCAGCTTTTGCTATATTCACTTTGCTATATGGAACAGAATTTGAATAATTCATGGATTCGAATTCGATTCGAATCATACTTTTTTCAATAGATTTATAAATTTAACAGATACTAAATTTAGTAACAGCGAGATACAACTTTTAGAGAAAGGATTTAAACACAACTTGCCCCAACATAATAATGAGAGAACTTTAGAATATTTAGGTGTAGAATGTGAAGTAGCGTTAAACAAAACTGCTAACAATATCGAAAAAAGTATAATTGCCAAATCTATTACGGATGTGTGTAGTGAAACTAAGAATTCCTGTTACAAAGAGAATAAAACAGCAATTTCAATTAAAAATAAATCAATAGAAAACAACATTGTGTTTACAAAAGCAGACAAAGGCCCCACTACTATTGCTATAGATAAAATAGAATATGATAACAAAACAATAGAATTCTTAAATAATCAAAATATTGAAACTTTACACAAAGATCCGACAGAAAAATATCAAAAACAAATTAAGCTAGCGTTAGAAAATTCAAAATCAATACTAAATCCAATAGAACAGAAATACCTCAATATCATGAACCCACAGCCTCCTAAATTATACTCTTTCATTAAACTACACAAACCGGATCACCCAATAAGACCTGTAGTTTCTTTTTATACAGCTCCGTCATGTAAAATTTCAAAAAAACTGTTAGAGATTATTTTAGAACACACTAAATTTTCACCTAAATTTTCCATAAAAAATACAATAGAACTAGTTAATAAAATACAACATTTTCAATTACCTAACAACTCCAGATTAATTTCATTTGACGTAAAAAATCTTTTTCCTAGTATCCCTCCTACAGAAACTTTTATTCTAGTAAAAAACCTTTTAGACCAAAATAGTACAAATCCAATAATTACATCTGAAATTTTACATCTTCTTGAAGTTTGCATAAACCAGGACTACTTTGAATTTAATAATAAAATATATACAAATAACAGTGCAGGACTTATAATGGGTAATCCTCTAAGCCCATTGCTATCAGATATTTTTATGGATCATCTAGAGACAAACATTTCAAAACATCCCGTATTCAAACAGTTTTTATATTGGTGGAGATACGTAGACGACGTACTGGTATGTTTCACAGGAACTAACAGGCAACTCGACCAATTTTTATTGTATATTAATTCACTTCATAGTCATATTGAATTTACAATAGAAACAGAACAAAATCAATCCATAAATTTTTTAGATTTAAAAATTAGCAGACTTCAAAACAAACATGACTTCTCCATATTTCATAAACCTACCCATACTGACACGACTATACACAATTCATCATCCCATCCAACACAACATAAACTGGCAGCTTATCATAGTATGTTACATAGATTAACAGAAATTCCGATGTCAAAATACAACTTTGAGACAGAATTAAATATAATTAAGCAAATAGCAGTAAACAACGGATACAACGAACAAACAATTAATAAAATGTTAAATCAAAAACTACACAAGAAAGCCCTGAAATTAGTATTTACACCACCAGAGAAAAAACCCAGTACCTTCTGCTCGATAACAAATACAGGCTAAATATCAACAAACTCCAATGTGACGACTGCCCAAAAACTTACATCGGTCAAACTGGTAGAAACTTTGATAAACGAATAGCAGAACATAAAAGGGCTTTCAAGAATAGAAAAACAGATTCGACATACGCACTTCACCTTCTAGATCATAATCATTCTTTTAATGACAAATTTAAAATTCTTCACATTCAAAATAAAGGCCTTAAGCTATCTTTGTTAGAATCTATGGAAATCAACAAATTAAAAAACAGATCTAATTCTGAATGACCAACTTGAGACAAACAGTTCTCCCCTCCTCAACCTATTTCATTAGAGACTATAAATTTGTAAACCCAAGCCAAAAATAGATCACTTGAGAAAGGCAATCAGTCGAAACAGCTGTAGTGATAAGATTTAAAATAAATTTTGTGGAAGTTTGAAAACAAAGTTTTCAGTGTTTTATTGTTACGAACAGAATTTGGTTTAGAGTTTGTAGACATTTCATACTCAAATCTTTTATATTATATTTAATTTAAATTTGTATACATTATATATTTGTCATTGTTTTTACTTTTGTACTTTTTAATTTTCTTGGATTTGTAATTCATAGGGCTAACTCTGAAAACAAATAAATTAATTATTGCACTGATTTAGGTGTAATATGCAAAATTATCTTCATATTTGTATTTGTAAAAGCAATTTTCATTGTTAGATTTGGAAATATGTAATAATAATTGACTTGAATATCAATTGCATTGATATTGACTTGCAAATTTTAGTGTAATCTCTTTTTATAATGACGCACTATTTTTATCGTGGCAATGGTAAAATTTTAACATATCTGTTTCATTAAATTCATTTTTTATGTATCTACATGTAATTTTGGATATCAGTTGGTTTATTTCAAGTACTTTTCATGTAGAATATCAAAACGAAATCAAGTACAGATTTCACATCTGTTTAGTATGTAAAACTACTATTGAAAGACAATTTTAAATCATCAGTTTGCTAAATATACCGTACCTCTTACGTTGTTCATTGATATTTTAGCTATGTCAATGTAAATTTATTGCCATATGTAGCTAACAGACTAGTACTAGATCTATATAATGATTTATCCTTAGTTAATGTGCTTAGTCTGTAAGAAACTCCAGGTATTTGTTTGTCACAAAACTATCTGACCTTCGTCTGTAAATTTGTGCCAACATGTTCCACCACCCTCTGTGAGTATGAGCGTAATCAGTAATTATTGTCTTAAACGAAGCAGATGAGCAAAATATATGTAAAAGAACTATTCACAAGGATTAAAAACAACTACACATTTTACAAAAGTGAGCTGCCTTCCAGCACACAGAAAAATAAAAAGATCATTCTTTGATAGTGTGTGAACTACAAAGCAGTCTTGAAATTTCCAAAAGTTGCCATTCGAGAATTTGGGAATGACTCGTGTTTGTGCCAAGTTCCTTCCAAAATTGTTTACAGTAAAACAGAAAGATTCGCATAAAAGTGGCTCTGGACTTTGGACAACTTGGAAATCGTCGCTAATTTACAGTTACGATCTCGAAACAAAAATAATAACAGTTGTCACAACGAAGCTTCTTTGGAGTGGAGCACCGATGTTATTTTTTTATTATAAATGAGTTGTGCTCCCTAACTATGCACCAAGAGGCTAGACAATCAACAAATAATTTTATTTTTAAGTTCTGAAAAGATAACGTGAAACAGTGAGTCCAATTTTTAAGCGAGTGGTGAGTTTCTTGATCTCGATATTACGCCAGTACATTCGTCGAAACTTATGCAACAGTTTTTGACAAAACACAATGTTACTCAACTTCGCCGGCTTCCTTACCGTCCCGAAATACCAAAATGTGACATTTTTGGGTTTCCAATGCTGCAAGTACCTTTTTAAATTGCAACGAACACACGTAGATGATTCAAACGATTTCCACGATGCTACAGAGTGACAGTTTTTGAGCTTCCTTCACACTTCTGAGATTATCATCTTATTGGTAGCCGCTCTAAAAAGTTTTACTATACCACCCTCAAATATTTCTCAGCCAGTAAATCATTCGATAGAACTGCTTCAATGATTTTAAGCACCACTAGGTAGATATCGAAGAACAATGCATTGCGAAGTTATGAACGAAGATCAGATTTTTTTGAGACAGATCTCGTATTACCATATTTTATTTATTTGTATGTTTGCTTTAGGTACCCCATATTGTGGAGGCGTGTTCAAAGTAAAACTAACACTCGGTAAAGGTTTTCCACAGGAACCTCCCAAAGCTCATTTTTTGACAAAGATTTTCCATCCCAATGTAGCTCCAAATGGTGAAATTTGTGTCAATACTCTTAAAAAGGACTGGAAATCAGATCTCGGAATTAAACATATACTATTGGTAGGTTTGTTTGATGATTTTCTATATTTAAGTGAGCAAATATATACTTTTCTATTTGTACAAATAGAAATATATAATTTTTGATGACGTTTACAGTGGATTTTAAAACAGAAATTTATCTTTGTAGACTGTGAAGTGTCTTCTAATTGTACCAAATGCCGAGTCTGCTCTTAATGAAGAAGCAGGCAAACTCCTTTTAGAACATTATGATGATTATTCCCAAAGGGCAAAAATGATGACAGAAATTCATGCACAGGTAAGTCAAATGTTGATGGTAGTATATGGTTGTATGACTATCAGCTTTTCTGCTCCATGACCTCGTTAATCTTTTGTCCTTATCCCTGTTGTGTTTTTGTGGTAGACATTTGAGCAAATTGTACTTAACATATTTATTACATACATAATTATTTCAGTTGTTTTTCAGCAATCACTAAATTTTTTAAAATGTGTAAAGTATAAAAGCTCCCTAGATCACAATTCTTATTTACATCATACTCACATAGCTTATTTGGTTTTTGGAGTATTCAATTTGTGGGTAAATTTGTGTTTAAAACACAAGAATCTTATATTTCTTCTTGGTCCAGCGATTAGGTATTTTTTCTTCCTTCGGAGATTTCCCGTACAGTTCTGTTTTCCTCGATCTTATTTTGTAAGTGTTTGGGATGTGCCCGTTTCTTTTCAATTCACTTCAATTCACATATCAAGTTAACCCTATTGGTCAGCGCTATATCAGCAAGTGCTGATTCTTCCACTCAAGAACAGCTTAGAGCTGACTCTAGTGACTTTCAAAGGCCTTAGCGCTGCTTGACTATCAGAGCAGATAGAGATGGTCCTGCTTGAGCATGCCCTATCTATTATAACCTGAGCACATACCAGGATCGCAAAGATATCGGCCTGAAAGACTGATGCATGGGAGCCGAGGGTATGGCTAGATTCAAATCCGATTCCGCTACCATATACTCAGCACTTGCTCGCTCATCCATTCTGGACCCATCAGTGAACCAGGTGAGCCCGCTTCGATAGATCAGTGCAAACTCTCGTTCTATCCATTAATAGCATTTATAGCCTCAATCAGTTATTTATAGGCGAAACAGCATAGTAACAGTAGTTTGGGTAGAACTTGAAGTTACTATTCGAAGATTCGATGTCTGCTTGTATAAGAGCCCTGGATATACCAAGGCTAAATAAAAGGTCTATCCAGTTTTGCTGGAGAGCTTATATATCGTAGATCTGTCGCCGAAGTCCTAATGACTTGTTTAATAGTTTTTGGAAGATGTACGATAAGTCAAGTGGATTACTGTACAAGTGGTACTGTACTGGTTTAGCCAAATAAAAATTGTTATGAGTCACAACGCTGTAATTGCGCCATGGCGTGAGAGTTATTGGAGAAGCCGAATAAACTTCTTTATCAGCAACGCACGAGAACCTCTTTATAGATATCTTTCTGGAATTTCGTATTATCTCACATGCACACCTGCTAGCTGTTTCTAGAACATATGTTTTATTATATGAGTATTTTTATAAAACGATGCCTGTGCGATTATAGACGCAACTTTAAGATATTTGTAATTGAATGAATTTTGGTAGTTTCTTCTTCTTCTCCGCGTACCATATCAGAATTATCCGACGTTGGCAATCTCCATTACGAAGGCTTCTCGATCTTCTGCAATATGGAATAATTGTCCCGCATTTGATATCCGAGTCCATTCACGAATGTTCCTCAACCAAGATACCCGTTTCCTTCCTACACCTCTACGGCCCTCTATTTTGCCTTTAAGGATCAGTTGTAGTATTTTATATCGACTTCCCCTTACTGTATGTCCCAGTTAAGACCTTCTTCGATGTTTAACAGTCTTTAGCAGTTTAGGAGAAGAATGTCATGGTTGAGAAACCTCAGGGAGTGGTTTGCTTGCACTTCTATACAATTGTTCCGAGCGGCAGCCTCCAGGGTCAAAATTGCCATGATGATAGCCAACCTTCGTAGCGGAGATGGCACGTGAAGAAGAAGAGCAGTTCTCCATCTTTGTTGACGCTCCTTAGTACGTCTTCATTAGTTTTCCTTACTGTCCAAGGTATCTTCAGCATTCGTCTAGAACCCACATTTCCAATGCTTCAATTTTCTTCATGATCGATACTTTTAGCGTCCACACTTCTGCACTATACAAAAGTACGGGCCAAACATAGCACTTAACCATTCTTTGTCTTAGTTCTAAGCTGAGATGATTATTGCAAAGAAATGACTTCATTTTCATAAAAGAAGTTTTAGTCATTCTTATTCTACGTTTTATTTCTATGTCTGGATCTAGTTGGTCCGTTATCACAGTTCCCAAATATGTCATTTTGGGAACTTTCTCAACTTGGACTCCGTTTAATTGAAGCTTTGCATCGAGATGTGGATCACGACTAAACACTAACATTTTTTGGGTTTGAGTTTATTTTTATGCCCATTTCCTCTCTTACCTCATGAATATGATCAAGCAGAATTTGGAGACCTTCAATATTATCTGACAGAATTACTGTATCGTCTGCATATCTAATCACATTAAGTAGTTCCCCGTTGATTTTTATTCCATATGGTTGTCTCTCAAGTGCCTTTTTAGATAACTGGTCTGAATAAACATTGAACAATGTTAACGACAAAATGCAACCTTGTCTGACTCCTCGTTGTATGGAGATTTTATCGGTGTAGTTATCTCCAATTTTTACGATAGCAGTTTGACTCCAGTACAAATTTTTAATGACACGAATATCCTTGTCATCTATTCCGATATTTTTCAGTATTTGCATTAATTTTCCATGCTGTACTTTATCGAATCCCTTTTCGAAGTCCACGAAACATGCAAATACATCTTGTCTTTGGTCACGGCATTTTTGTAATAGGATGTTAAGCGCAAAAAGTGCCTCCCTGGTACTCCCTTAGCATTTCTAAAACCAAATTGGGTATCTTCAAGATCATCTTCGCATTTGCGTCTAATTCCGTTGTAAAGTATTCTTAGGAAAATTTTAAGAGTGTATAAAGAATTTAATGAGCCATTAGGTTAATTACTTGATATTCTGAGCATTTTCTCGCATTATGTTTTTTAGGTATTGCGAAAAAGATGGATTTGAGCCAATCTGTAGGAATCACTTCGGTGTTATATATTATATTATATAATTAAAAAATCTTATTACTACTTTTATGTTATAATCTTCTAATAGTTTCAGCAACTCAGTTGGTGTATCATCTGGACCACAAGCTTTTCTAATTTTAGCATTATTTATAGCGTGTTCTACCTCGCATTTCATAATATCTTGGCCGTCAATACAGTTTTAATAGAATTCGGCAATATTATTCTTGTCATCTTCAAACAACTCTGATATATACAGCTGCCATTCTTTTCTTATTTCTTGCTCATTTACAATAATTTTGTTATTATTGTCAACGAGCATAGAGGGAACTCGTTTTTTAAATATGTTACTCATTTCTTTTAGTTTTTTGTACACATTAAATAAGTCGTGTTTAGATATTACATCCTCCATTTCGTCGCACCTTTCTCTCATCCATTTTTCTTTGGCTAATTTGATCTCCTATTTTATTCTTCTCTGCAGGTGTCTATATTCTGTTTCATTAGATTTTATCAGTCGACGTTGTTCCATTAATTTTAAGATGTCGCCTGTTATCCATTTATTTTTCTTGATTAAGTTTTTTCTGTAATCATGGATTGTGGAGATTTCGTTAACTTGGTTGTTAAATTCACTCCTCCATAGTTTTTCTGGATCTTCTAGTTCTAGTTTTTTTTTTTTTTTTTTAATTTAAAGACAAACTATTTTAACAATCAGAGGAATTTTTTACAATCAGAGGATTAAACATACAATCATCCGTACAATCTAACATGCAATTTTTAATAAATTACAACTTGTTTTTTTTTATTTCTTTTTTTTTATTTCTTTTTTTTTATTTTTTTTTTTTTATTTTTATTTTTTTTTTTATTTTTTTTATTTTTTTTTATTATTTTTTTTTATTTTTATTTTTTTTTTTCCTGCGCTAAGACATAACCCGATTCAACATCTCGGAGGTTTACATCTTCCTTTTTTTTTATTTTTTTTTTTTTATTTATTTTTTTATATTTTATTATATATATATTTTTCTGCTATAATACAATATTTACTTATATATAAGGGTTAGTTTTAAGCTACAATTTATATTTACAGTTTTTGATATGTTCGTAAATCGTTTTTAATATATTGATATCTCTAGAGAAAATCAAATTGTTTAGGTAGACGGGAAGTGGAATTTTTAATAGAATAAGATTATCATAAAATTTGTTTATGTTTACTGATTCGTGGGAACATTCAAGGAAAATATGTAATAGGTTACCTTCTTTTCCGCACTTGCAATTAGGTGACTCCGCGAGACCCAACTTGTACATATGAAGGGGGGTAAGAGCATGATTAGATCTTAATCTGTTTACAACCTTTATGAAATGGCGGTTTGATAGAGTATGAAACCATCTTTTTATGGGTATTTCAGGCTGCATTTGTTTGTAATTATTTCCAGTTCTCGTGTTTTGATAATATGTTTGCCATTTTTCTTTTTGATGCCGTTTACTAATTATATCAATGTCTGAAATGGGGAGTAAGTTCAAGGGGGCTTCTTCGCCTATGTCTAGGGCGGATTTGGCTAGGCTATCTGCTATTTCATTGCCCTTAATGCCCGCGTGTCCCTTTATCCATGATATAATAATGTTTTTCCCTAAATTTGTAATTTTATTGTAAATAGTCATAATTTCTAGTTCTATATGATTTAGTTGTTTGGACCTATGTACGTTTGTTAGTCTGTCGACGACACTCTTACTGTCTGTAAATATTATGCAGTTGTAGGGTTCGTTACTATGTATATGCCTTAATGCAAGAAGAATCGCTGTCATTTCAGCAGTGTATATCGATGATTCAGCTGGCAATTTCAATAATTTTTTAAATCCACTTTGAGTATTAATTAATGCACATCCTACTTTGTTTTGTACTTTAGATCCGTCTGTAAAGTAAAACTGATAATTTGGCCATTTATGCCGTGTAAATGATTGAAAAGCGACTGGATTTAAATTACCCTCCATAAAAAAGGTATTGATATGTTTTGAGAAAAGCTCTTCTAATATATGGGAATATATAGGTGAAACTTGGTTTTCATATATATAGAAAGTATGTCGGTATTGAGATATCTTCAAGTAACTATTTACCAGAAGAGAACATTTTTTCTTTGTCCAATATTTATGAGTTAGATCTAAAATTGATAAAATATGAATATCCTGTAGATAGTTAGTATTTTTCCCTATGGCTCTAGTAATGAATTTATCACTTAAAAACTCCCGTCGAAATTTCAGAGGTGGTTCTATCGCCTCAACTTCCATTATATTAACAGGTGTAGAAGTCAAATATCCAAGACAAAGCCGAAGGCATTTATTTTTTTGTATTTCTAATTTATTTAAATGTGTGTTTGCGGCAGTTCCATACAAATGACAACTGTAATCGAAAATGGGACGAATCATTGTGCGGTAAAATAAAAGTGCTACATTTGGATCAGCGCCCCAGTTAGTTCTACAAAAGGCTCTTAGAATGTTCATTGCATTTTCAGACTTTTTTATGACTTGATGAATTTGATCCTTCCATAGAAGTTTTCTGTCTAAATAAGTACCGAGATATTTTATACAATTTTTAATAGGGAATTGAATTTGACCTACTTCCAGATGACCTTGTGGAATTTGATGTTTTCTAGAGAAAATACAAATTTCCGTTTTAGATTCTGATATTTCTAAACCAATATTTTCGTAGTGATTAAGAACAGCTTTAATTGAGACATCAAAATTATTTTTACATATATCCAATGATTTGTGGGCTGTGTAAACTACTACATCATCAGCATATTGAATAATTTTTGTTGGGCTATTAATACAATTTTCTATATCCATATTATATAAAATAAATAGTATTGGGCTTAATATGCTACCCTGTGGAAGTCCTATATTTGTAAGACGTGGAGGAGAGATGGAATGGTTGATTTTTAAAAAAAGTTGATCTATTAGTGTACAATGTCCTCAGAAAGCTAGCTATGGTGATGGGGAAGCCGATATCTAATAGCTTTTTATGCATAATGTCCAAGTTAACGGTATCGAATGCAGAGGAGACATCAAGAAAAGCAGCCATAGTATACATATTATCAGTAAAGTTTATTAGTATGGATGAGACTAAGGCAGTTATGGCATCTTGGGTTGATTTTGATTTTCTGAATCCATACTGAGATTTTGGGAGAATATGCTCTTGCTCTAACCAATGTTCAATTCTATTTTTTATTAATCTTTCTAGAGTCTTTAGGAAGCAAGAGGCTAAGGATATTGGTCTATATGATCTACTGCAATTTTCTGGTTTCCCAGGTTTTTTAATAGCTTCTAGTTGTTCTCCGATGTTTTTTATTCTATTGTTAAATTTTTTTTAATGTTATGTTTTATGTTTATATCGACAAAGTTAAGTACATTGGTTTTTGGTTTTGTAGTTAATTAAAATAAAATTTGATTCCCTAATCTCCGAACCCACAGAAAAACGCAACAATATTAAGCACATATGCTGAGGTTCTCCTTGGGGTTGCAGTTGTATATAGTAGAATATTTTCAAATATTCATTGTAAACTTGTAATCAATTTGTTTATATTATATTTCAGCAACACAAAAGCAAAGGTATAGCAGGAGACGGCCCCCTAGCGAAGAAACATGCCGGTGACAAAAAACTAACAGCCGAAAAGAAAAAAATACTAAAAGACAAAAAGAGAACTTTAAAACGTTTATGAGGTTATGTGGAGTTTACTGTATGATTTGAATCGTTTAAGATTTTTTCAGTTCATTTACATTTTTGAAATATTTTAGTTTTTTACAGTTAGTGCTATTTTACAATTTCGACTTTGATTGATTGATTACTATCTTTTATATTTGCACATACCTAAGTAGATTTTGATATTTGTATTGACCCACCTAGGAAATATTGTATATTCTTGGGTGGAATTTGTCATAATCGTCAATGAATCTAGTGTTACAGCCACTGGTAAATCCCGCCATATTGCTTCGTTCTGTGAAGTCTAAGGTTGGTCGCATCATTAAGGTTAGGCTCGCTTTTGTACCGCCTCGGTAATCGATTTGACAGACGACAAATATGACGAATCGATAGATGGAAAAGAAGACGATTTTATAGAAAGAAGAATTGACAGACGGAAAGGAGGTCGAAATGACAGTTGATATCAGAATTGAAGTGACAGCTGACGTCATAGCCGCCATCTTGTGACGTAACATTGGGCGCGAAAGTGCGTTATATCCTAAATAGTCCTTATTAAATCAATTTACATTTTCTACATCATCTAATCATCTTGTTATCGATCTACTTTCGTTTCATAATCTTCTTTGGTTAGTAATTCAGTTTATAAATGTCTTTTGATCAAAACCGTGTTGTATGTCCTTTTTTTTTTCATTATTTCGCTTCGGCTGTACAGTTGGTCTTCGTAATAGAGCTTGGTTTAAACGTAGTCAGCTTGTAGAGTACAAAATGTTTTTAGCCAGATTGAAAGATGCTCGCATTGGTCTTTGGATATAGGTACAACAGTATTGCATTAAAACCTCACTTTGACTCAATTTGTCGCTTACAACATTGTTGCGGCCCACCATTCAATTATAGAAATTTTAAATCATACACAGTATACCTAACAATGAGTATTCCCACTCTAGTATTCATATTATGTGAAGGGAAATCAGGCATGGCACTGCACATATGGACGCGACAGAGCCTACCTTGATTTATTTTGAAAAATTTGCTAATAATTAATATAAAATCTGTAATCGACATTTTAATCCTAATTTAAAACTCACCTATTAACATCTTTCGGAAAAGAAAAAAAGTTGACACTGCATTTTCCAGAGTTATTACAACAATTTCTAGCTGCACAAGTGTTACTAGTTTTTTTGTACATATCGAAAAGTTCGACAACATAATTGTCAAAATAAAAATAAATCACTCTTAATTTTAAATAAAAGTACAATAATAAGTCTATCCACTACGAAACAAATAAATATAGTTAATCTGTTATAAAAATATTAAATAATTCGTTGTGAGTACAGTACAATCCAGATGATTCAAAGTATACAATAACAATGGCAGATTTTTCCCTCTAAGAAGATAGCGTCGCTGTCTGCATAGTAAACGTACGTGTTCTTTACTGGGAATACTCATTGCTAGATATACTGTGGTATATATTTAGGATAATAACCTCAAAATGATATTCCTTAAAACAATTAATGATAATTCTAGAACAAAATCTACTTTGGTACGTTTTTATTATAATTTACTGATATTTGTAAAAGTTATTTGAAAATGGACGACTATGTTTTCTATTGAATTTCTTGCATTTTAGCAAAATATAATTTCATTTTGTATATCTACTTGTAATATTTTTATACAGTTAATTTTAGTGTTTTAGGTAATTCAATATGTTCTTTAAATTGTTTTTATATTATAATTTTAACTTACATGCAGGGTTTGTCAAAGGCACTGAAATAGCGACAAAGTGTGAATATGCCATATGAGTATAACATCATGTTTAGGTTTATTGTTTTGTATTTTTATTTTGCAACATCTCAAACATTCTGGATTAGGTATTTGCTATATTAGGTATGAAGCATTATATGCGAATTTTTCAATGAAAAATGGAAGCAACATTTCATTAATAATTCAGGATGGAATATAAAGACGAAGAATAGTTGACGGATGACGCATGACACATGACACATGATATACGATCTGTGGTTAGTGGCAGGTTCTTTTTTCTTGCTAAATTCGTTTATGACAAAATCATAAAAACTTTGATTTTGAAAGATTTCCTTAAGGTTGATCTGCACCCTCAAAAAACAAACTACACATTTAAAAAAATTGAAAATATTTGAGAGAAGGCATATGTGATTACTAGAAGTATTTTGGCAAATTTTGAACAAGCTTCATGTTTTCGTTTTCGAAAAAACTCTGAAACTACTTTTTTCCAAGTATAAAACGGGAAAACCAAACATAGAATTTTGTTAATTTTTTTACAGCATAAAGATATAATCCTAAGAAATACTTGTGAATTTTTTGAACATTTTTGAATGTACAGTTTTGCTACAATAGGAAAAAATAATATGTTCCGGCTTAAAGCTACCGGTAAAAAACCGGACAAAATTTTAATAACATATAAAACTGTAAAAGTAGAAAATATTTGCAATACAACGTTGAATATTTCTTCCTAAACATAAAAAATCTCGTTACACAAAAATTATATCTTCAACTGCCGCCACCAAATTGTGTTGTAGAGGGTGGCTCCATCTGAAACATCGGTAATATTTAACATCGACAGATAGCACTGTGCCATGTTGTAAATATCTTCGCTTACTTGGTCTACTAGTAATAAAGTTATCAGTATTACATGGCCAAGCGGTATTTTTTGGTAACTCAGCCAATGAATGTAAGGATAAAAAATTGTAATTTGTATTAGGGTTTGTACATATTACAGTCATCATGTAGAAATCTACAATTGAGCATCATGCCGCAGTAGAGCCATCTCTAGGATCAGAAACAAACTAATTGAAGGTGCAGATCAACCTTAATAATTTCCTCTTGAATCTACAAAACAGTAGTTATCAGTCTCACCTCAGTGGAATTTCTGACAAGTCTTTAATCCCCTTTAGTACAGAAAAACTTCATTCATTGTAGCGGATATTGTCGTCACAAGTTGCATAATTTTGAAACTTCACTGTATGCGTCATGCAATTCAGCGTTTTTAAGAAATTTCATCGTTTTACAATCACTTCAATTTTTACAAAGCGTTCATAATCTTACAAAACGCATACCTGTGAATGCCTGGAAAAATGTAAAAGCAGTTGCCGAAATGTTTTCTCAAATAAAAAAAGGATTTTCCGAGAAACTACAGTTTTATATTTATTGAAATTACGTATCTCCACACATCTTAAATGGCAAAGATTACTAAATCGTTTTTTTAACTATTGAAAAAGTGATCTATTATTTCACAAAATAGTCGATTGAAATCGTAGGCTTCACGGCCAGAGTCAGAATATAGTTTATTCGTCTTCCGGTTTGGACCGTGTCGGAGTGACTTTTGGGTCACTCACAATGACACGGTCCAAACCGGAAGCGAATAACTATAAATAGTCGATTATAAGACATTTTGATGTCACGTACATTGTCAATTCTAATAGACTTGGATTCGAATTTCAAATTTGTTCGTTTTTGACCACAGAATCCTCTATTTAGTCTACAATATAAAATAAAATACCTGTGTAAGGAAATATTTCAGAAAATACATGGAGCAAATACTTAAAATCAAAATCTTGTTTGAGTAATTCTAAGTAGTCTCCTAAGGAATTCACAATTTCAGGTTTTCAATTCTTTATGCTCCAAGATTTAAAAAACTCAGTTGGGAAACTGTTTGTACTAAACTCCCATTTTAGATCTTTCTGGTGGGGATATCTGAGGAAATATTTTCTGAACTATGGCATCTAAAACATTTGTCGTTTTTTAACATTTATAAAAAAAGCAGCCTTTCAGTTAAGGTTTGGAACAATGAAAGCTAAAACATTTTCCCGCGCTCAACCTTCAAAACCTCTGCTAAATACCTTTAAATGTATAAATAAAAGCAGATCCGTACTCTACAAAACTGGTTTGTGTTTTTATTTTGGTTTTAAGTTTATTTTTGTTTAGCTAAAATAATTTCCATAAATCTGATGTGGCATATTATTACATTTTTGCAAATCGAGTCATCTGTGGAACTTATTGTATTATATTTTGATTTTAAAAATTGTTAGTTCATAGCACAATTTTTACAAACGTTTTGACACTTTTTTTAAATAATAATTAAATATCCCAAAAATAATAGTTAATTCTTAAAACAAGTTTGAATTTGGTTATTTCCATTTTCTCTTTTAGAAAAGTATGGTATTTATCACAAAAACGTTGTTTATATTTTAACAAAAAATCAAACTGGATCTTAGTTATCGAAATGTTTGTGAAGAATAGTATTTTGAATTAACAAAGAATACGGACAAACGAAGGTTTTAAACCTGTGTTTATTGCTATATAAATATTTATAATATGATTAAATTAAAAAGTTGAGTTAAAGGTGCTTTTTGTTTGGTTTGACAAACCTTTTGTGAATGAACTAAGGTGAGCGTATTTTAATGATTATTTTTTTAATGTTTTATGAGTGTCATCGATGTATAGTTTATTAGGAATATATTACTTGATCACATACAATGCGTTGTTGACAAAATTTGACAATTTTAATTTAGTATGCTTGAAATAGGTGGGCATAACAATGAAAACACAAAATTTTGATACAGGAAGGTGATACCAGTCGTTGAAAGTAACATATTTATTTCTATGAAAAAATGTTGAGTATAGATCGGAACGTTTAAGTATTATAGCAAAGTTTACATTATATTAATCAATTTTCATAAACTTCTTTTCGCATCCTTCTTTCAGTTGTATCCACGATACACTTATACCGGTATGCCGACGAGCATTTTCAGTGACGTCACATCGATGCAAATCCTAAATCCTACCACATCCTACGTTATTTAATGTTGGTTAGGTTGAGTGTTTTTATTTTTAATTTATCCCATTGTGGATTTACTAATTTACAATTTTTAAATCAAATACAGTTGTAAATGAAACGGCGATATTGAGATACAAAAATACTTTTGAAAGAATTTATAAAAATGAAATTAAAAAAAAACTCAATGTTATTGGAATTTAAGAATA